AGGTTACTACCCGCAGGTTACGCGAGTTTTTGGATTGTGGAGCGACCGAGTCGCAGCTATTCCGCCCATAACAATACACTAAATACTATACACATTTAGTATTATTTGCAATATTATTTATATTTATGTATTTATATAATATATATTTATTTGTATTGATTCTATGTAACTACTGAACTACTAGCATGACTAACAACCAACTTTGTCTAAATTTAAACCTTCACAAATCATATTACACTCATGTTTCTTCAAAAAAAACTTTTCAATTCCTTTCTTTCCGAAATTTGTTTCACCAAATCTTAATATATCAATACAATGTATTGCCGGATCTGTTAATAAGAATTCTTTATTAAGACTAACACCTTGTAAATCATAAACTACTAAATATCCCTTGGTATACTGATAAGTGAAATGAGCAAACGCCTCAAGGGCTGAATGGAAATCTGTAATAATACCACTATTTGTGTTAAACCGTTTAAACTTTGCATCAGAGAAATACTTTTCTATAGAGTAATATAAAGTACTGGTATTAGACTTATTACTCAAGATATTTACATCAAGAAAATTCACTTTCCATTTGAATGTAGTTTGTTCTATAGCTAAATTAAATTCTGTTGAAAGAAATTTAGCAATGTTAGAAACCTCTATTAATTCTAGGCATCGTTTTTCAGAGTCTTGTTCAGAATTATGATATTCTTTTATAACAAATTTTTCACCTTGCCCAAGATTATTACAAAGGGCAAAATATGCATACCGTTCAGCACCAACAGAAAATGGTTGTGGGGCAAGTTTGAACGAGATATTTCGAGTGGTAAATTTTGAATTTATAAAAAAATGATCATCTTTAATTTCATCAAGTGATTTAGGTAATGGATAATATAAAAGTTCTCCAGGCTTTTCTGGTAGAGTGGACCAATCAGGTTCAAGTGGATTGATTTGAAGTCTTTTTAATTGTAAGGAATGTATGCTTGCAGGGTTTCTTAACGTAGTGGTAAGCAAAACAGAAGAGATGATAGCAGAGCAAGTAGTATCGACAAATCTATTAAGTAATACGTCCGGATTATTACTAGTAGTTTTAAGATCAAATACAGGAAAATCACCAATGATTTCACGAAATATGCCAAGCATAATTTCTGTAGAATTATTAATTTTCCCAAAATGATATAAAATATTGTTCGATTTCATTGTTTTCAACACTTTTTCAGCAGTTAGACCATTTGGATCGCCATCTGGAAATTCATCATTTTTGTTAGTAAAACGACGACCATGCGGAGGGGCATCTCCGATATGAATAAGCACACGAGTGGCACTATTCCAGGACATACGAGTTATCGCAGCGTTAAGACCTCCTAGGACATCTTCTGGGATATCTCTACCACCTTTAACATTTACTTTATTGGTTATATATGATCTAAATTCTTCATGAGAGTTAGTAAAGTTGAGAATTTGTATGTGATCATGCCTATCGCAATAGTCACGATATCCACAGAAACCAAACCGAAGTTTAATATCAGCACCATAATTTTTCACGTAGTTTGACACTCTTAATATGCAGTTTTTTGCAGCGGCAATGTGTTCACTCATAGAATCAGTGCAATCAAGAACAAAGCAGAGATCGACATTCAGTAAAGATCTAATGTCATTGATTACATTTGAAATATAATTTTCTCTGTTCGTTAATGTCCTTCCAATATCATTCATTTAATTTTCTTTTATAAAACTTGTTTGTTTTTTTAACGAAAATTGGAAGAATCATAATGTATTTATAAAAAATCAATGTAATTAATTAAAGTGTTAAATCATCGAATTCCATATTAATACATAACATACAGTAATTCATGTTTAAAATAAATGAACAATCCGTCAATGAATATCTATATTGCGCATTTTGTGCGTGTATTTTAAATAAAGGAATGTTCTATTAAGTACACGTACCACATTCTTTGTTAATAATTTTTTTATAAATTATGATAAACAACCATTTTATTTGTGACTAAAGTTTCCGGATATTATATTCCTGTAAAAACAAACCGATAACATTAACAAATTTAATAGAAATTATGTCCTTTTGGTAAAGTGGCTTTAACAAAGTTATACAATAACCTATTTTCTTTTCCTTATTTAAATAAATTCAAAGAGACATCTATTACTAACAATGTTTACCTTTTAAAATTAAATATCCTGATAAGATTTTTCTTAATTTTCCGTGAATCTGGTGATATAAATAATGTGTTTATATGGTATTTTCATTACTAAAATATTATCGCAAAAATTACAAATCAATAAAGTTCCATTGGATAGCTAGCACATGTGAGACACATTTGTACGTACATAACTACGTATACAAAGTTTAAGACGTATTACTGTAGTTTATACCAAGAATTAGAATTTTATATGTTGGTACGTATATATGTTGTAAATGGGAATGGAATTTAAGTGGATTTGGAATTTCTTAATAAAATTATGATTTTAAGGTAAAATCCATTTTATATAAACCTACACCCTAACCCTAAAATCCTAAAAAATTCAAAATCCACTTAAATTGCGTTCCTACTTACAGCATATATGTATACAATGTAATTTTGTAAACCCATTATATAACTACGTATCCATTAAACCGTCCGGGCCCGCTAAAATAATTGACTGTAATTCCCGCGAACACAGAGCATGTGACACTTCAAATGTATGTCATTGTGCATGCCATGCCATGTGACACAAGCGAAGAGCGCAAACCTAAATTTATTCAGAAAATGTTGCAAAGAATATTTTATTGGGTCAAAGCTCCTCAATCACTCCGATAATTCAGCTATAAAATATTATAGGCATGGACAAAATAATATCGTATGAAATGTGGGAACT